AACCCCTTCTCCTCCATTCTCCTCTCGGGATCTTGGGCACGCACGCACACATGCCCGGCGTGAGTTTTAAGCCACCAGGTCCGGGACACGAACCGCGGTCGACTACGTGGGAATCCAGCGACATAGCCATTACGCTAACTGCTGGTTCCCTGTTTTGGTTTTTTTTGAGAGATTTTCCTATAGGGTGCATGAGCTCGCAAGAGGCAGACAGGGAGAAATCACCGGCAGGGGGCAATGGCCATGCCACAATCCCTTCTCCACTCTCCAACTGGGATCTTGGGCATGCATGTCCTTGTGGGCATGAGTTTTAAGCTGCTAGGTCCAGGACTTGAACTGCAGTTGACCATGTAGGAGTCTAGAGCCACAACCACTACGCTATCTGCTAGCCTCAGTGCTTTTAATTTTGTAATCTGATGGTGTCATGGTTACGTCACTGGACTCCCATGTAGTCAACCATGGTTCGAGTCCTGGAGCCGGAGACTTAAAACTAATGCCATGTACATGTGCATGCATGCCCAAAGTCCTGAGAGGAATCTGGAAGAGAAGCGACTACAGCATGGCCATCCCCCTAGGGGGTGATTTCTCGCTAGCTCTCTGGCTAGTGCATGTGCCCTATAGCAAAAGTCTCTCTCAAAAAAAACCCCACAAAACTTGTTTAGTCTCCAAATGTGGGTGACATGAGATAACATGAAGGCAAGTTTTACCTAAACACAGGTAACTAGGGCTGAGCATGCTGGTAATGTGGACCACCTCAGGTCCAGGTTCAATATTGGCTTTGGATTCACAAAACAAATAGATGTGTCTGTACGACGGTCCCGGTGGCACAACCCCCCCCCCCCCCCCCCCCTGCCGCTTGCTTACCCATGTTCTCTTTGGTCAGTCCCTTCCCCCAGTCTGTCCTGCCTTTCCCTCTGACCTGTCTGGAGACTCCTACCTGTCAGTGTCTGGAAGCAGTGCAGTTTGAAGGTGTCTGTCTCCAGCATCTCAATGCCCGAGCTTCCCTGCTCGGGAGACAGCTGGGAGCCGATGGCAAAGAGCCTACATGCAAAGAGAGCAAGAGAGCACAGCTGGGATCACATCCCATTGCCGGAAGGGAGGAGGATTTCTCAAACTATTCCACTGAAGTGACCCTGTCTGCTGAGGCCTTCACAGTATTGCCTGGGACAGCTGGGAGAAGTACTTTGAACACCTGGCAGCAGCGTCAGTTTTTTTTTTTTTTTTTTTTTTTTTAGGTTTTTGCCGCAGGGCAATGTGTACTTGCTGGAGAGAGAAAGAAAGGGAGAAAGGGAGAAATCACCCCCCCACCCCCCGCCCCAGGGATGGCCATGCCGCAATCCCTTCTCCTCCATTCTCTTCTTGGGATTTCTGGCACTAATGCACACAAGCAGTGTGATTTTCTCGGACCAGGTCAGAGCCTCAGATTGGGAATCCAGTCGCCTTAGCCACCATACCACCTGCTTGTCCCCCCCAAATTTCCTTTACATTCATTTGAATTCTGCACATAGTTTAGTTTACATTTATTACTAGAAAACATTTCACAATGAGAACGTTAGGTAAAAGGAATAGTCTTGAAAACAGTCGCCATGTTTACTTAGCTTGTGGCTAAGCTGTGCCAGCACTTCTCACACCAAAGTTAAAAGCAGGAAATGATTTTTAAAGATCATTTAGCTCAGCTGATTTACCTTGAAAACGAAGAAACTAAGTCTCAGAAAAGAGAGACCGATTTTAGCAAGATTACCACACTGCGGGGATTACCCAGAATCCAGACATACTGAATCGGTGGTTTTTCTTGTCGTAATACAAGAAACGACGATTTAAGAGAACGTAGAAAAAGGATGGCACTCAGGAGCCTGCCGACAGAATGACACCAAGCCATGCCGCTAAGTGCTGGCCAGCAGGCACCAGGGAGGGTTGGGGGACTTACGAATGGAACATGGAGGCCAGCATGAGCTTCTCATTGGAGGTGAGACGGGGCCGGCCGAATCGGATGGACACCGGGTAATTAGCAGGGTTACCCAAAAACTCCAGCACTTCTTTCCCGTCGGCGGTGTGCTTGCCGTTCACGTCCACGCCATTGATGGCCAGCACTGCGTGGCCCACTGCAGAGGGGAATTTCGCTGTCAGCGAAGATCGGGCTCTGGGATTCAACCCGGCAGACTAGGGATCCGCCCCCTCCCCTCACACACCCACACGCCGGCCCAGTTCCGCAAAGGACCAGGTCCCGCCCCCGCGCCCAAGCCCAGCCCACCCCGGATGCCATCGCGCTGGCCGAAAGCAACCAGCACTCGCTCGTCGTGCAGCTTGAGCAACAGATCCAGCGGGTAGCTGAACGTTTTCTCCGCCTCGGCCCGGGGCGCGTAGCTGTCCAACTGGTAAATCAGGCCGCCAGCTTTGTTCACCACATACACACTAAAGATCGCCATCGCTGCTGCCGCCGGGCCACTCGGATTCGGCCGCTTCGCCCCCGCCCCGCCCCGGAACCGCAGTCACAGGACCGCCCAGGCACCGCATCAGCTTTCTCCTCCCCGCCGCGGCGTCGACATGTGCGGCGCATGCGCACTCGGAGCTAAGCGCTCGGGCGCTGGTAATGCCGGCTAGTTGCCGGGACCTAATAAGTTGTCCTCGGCGTCTGAGCGGCAGGAAACAGCACACGAGGCTGTCGCTCAACTAGCGGCAAAGTCCGCAACCGCCCAGGGCACGCGCCCAAGGCGTCTTAATCCATCTCTCCATCCCGCTTCCGGCCACAGGGTCTGGGTTGGCAGAACTTCCTCTCCGAGGCTCCGCCCCTCGCCCCGGAAGTACTTCCCGCGGCGGAGGTTTCAGGGCCTGTGGGTGAGCGCTGCTTCCTTTCTGTCCGACATCTTAGCGAGGCTGTGGTGGCCGCAGCTGCTCTCCCGGCTTTGCGATGTCGCCCAAGGACGACAAGAAGAAAGACACCAGAAAGTTGGCCAAGAAGGACGGCGCCGGGAGGCCCCTTGCCCAGCCGGGCGGACCTCGGGGCGGGCGCGAGCATTGCATCTCCCATGTGCTCCGCTGGTGGGGTTCGGGTGGGGTTCGCGGGAGAACAGTACTAGGGGAGAATGGGGCACCTGGAGGACCTCGCCGCATTCCCGCTTTTCTACTACAGCCGCCCAAGGACGACAAGAAGAAGAAAGACGCCGGAAAGTCGGCCAAGAAGGACAAAGACCCAGTGAACAAATCTGGGGGCAAGGCCAAAAAGAAGGTAGGAGTGAGCCCCGATCTAGGGCGGGGACCGTGAGAGTGCCCTCCCGCCGCGCTCTAGCAGCAAATAACGTGCGTCCGCAGGTGGCTTTTCGAAGGTTGTGCGCTCCAGAGTTGCTTTAGTCCACGCTCTTAACCACGTTTCCATGTCTTCTCCCTTGGAGAGATGGGGTGGCGCATATTAAGGTCATGGGAACTAGTACGTGTGCAAAGCGTTCTCCGGTGTTAGCACGTGTTATTTGATCGGATCCTGTGGGGTTTGCCTTGTACAAGTACTAAAGGCATTTTAATTTATCTTTGGCAACAAGGAAGGGTTTGGAAGAGGAAAAGCATTGATTGTTTTTCTCTGGTTTGTGAGCAGAAGTGGTCCAAAGGCAAAGTTCGGGACAAGCTCAATAACCTGGTCTTGTTTGACAAAGCTACATACGACAAACTCTGCAAGGAAGTTCCCAACTCTAAGCTCATAACCCCAGCTGTGGTTTCTGAGAGGCTGAAGATCCGTGGTTCTCTGGCCAGGGCAGCGCTTCAGGAACTGCTTAGTAAAGGTGAGGGGTGGGTTGTACTGGTGTGCATTTATGGGTTCCATTGTCTTGACAGTGTTAGCCAGCTTTTGGGGGTTTTATTAGAGAAGTGTTAGGTCTCTGGGAAAGTCATGGTGTGTGTTTAATTTTTTCTTTCCTTAAGAGATTTTTGCTATAGGGCACTAGAGAGACAAAATGAGAAATCACCCCTGGGTGGGGGGGAATGGCCTTGCCTCATTCTCCTCTGGGGATTGTGGGCGTGCATGTGTGCAGTGTAAATCTAAGCCCTGGGCTGAAACTCCCACCACAGTGGACTACTATGGGAGTCCATCAACATAACCATTATGCCATCTGCTGGTCCCACATGATTTGTTTTTCTATGCAAAAATATGTCCTGACCTTCCCAACAACTTAGTAGTAGGTTTTTTTTTTTTTTTAGGGTGCGTGGGCTTACCAAAGAGAGAGACAATGAGGTTGGGATTTTTATGTGGGCAGGGTGGGGGTAGGCTGAGACTGTTTGCTGTTAATGATAGAAATAACCGAAGTAGGTGTTGGAGAGTTCCTATCCACAATTATATATTATGAGTCCCTGTGGCAGGTAGTGTGAAGCCCACGTGAACAGTTTCTGGCATCTATTAGCAAGCTGCAATACTGACACATGGAACTTATTTTCTCCCTAGGACTTATCAAACTAGTTTCAAAGCACAGAGCGCAAGTAATTTACACCAGAAATACCAAGGGTGGAGATGCCCCAGCTGCTGGTGAAGATGCATAAACAGGTGAGCAAGAACCTGGGGCTCTTGGTGTAGAAAGTGCATGTCCTCTTTATAAGGCTCTATATTCTGATTCTTGTTTTTAATTTTTTTTTAAACAGGCACAACCAACTGTACATTTGGAAAAATAAAATTTATTAAGCCAAATGAATGAGTATGTGTTTTTCCTAAGAAAAGTTATGGAGAAGTTGGTGGAAGGAATGATTGTGGGTATGGGTCTATTGCCTTTGCTTTGAGCCCTAGGGCAGTTGGAAGACTAGCAGGGAAGAAACCATTAGTTTTTTCCTTTATGAGACTGTTTGTTTCTTGCTGTTGCTTCACATTTGAACTGATGCCTGAAAGGAAATGAAGGGTTATCAGTAGGAAGGATGACATTTCTGCAGGGTTATAGAGTTGTCCTGGGATTGGACCTGTACCTCGATTGCCAGCGGCGCCCATTGTTCCAGACACGGCCAAAAGAGGGCAGCCAGCCTGCACTGGTGCTGGAGCTATGATCAAAGTTGGCCCCGACTCGGTCTGGGGGGAGTTTCTTTAATTTCTGTTTTTCTTCTACAACAACGATAAGGAAACAACGGTTTTGACTGTAAAGATGTACAGAACACTTTGCCCTTCTTGAGTTAGTTTACTTACTTTCTTTAAGAAACTCTTCATAAGAAGGTCCTATTTGTTGGTTGTCAGAGCTGTGTTCCTCCTCTTGGACCATCCAGGGAGGTGTGGCACCTGGAAAAGGAAGGCCCTTCAGCAGAAATGGAGACCTGGGGTGGCAGGGGCTCACCTTATATAATAGAGAACTAAAAGTGCTTAAGAGCAAAAACCCAGAAACCCTGGAGCTTGAAGGCACAAAGGCATTAATTTCATGTGATAACAGTTTTTAATGGCGGTAAGACATAATTGACATAAACGTTAACTCACTGTGTATATATATATATTTTTTTTGAGTAAAGCTTACCAGTCAAGACCCTGAACATAACTCTTTCACAGTCCTCTCTCACTGCCACTCCCTGTACTTTTCCTCATCTTCATTACTGCTTCCTTTTGCTTTCATTTGCACTTCTTGGCTTTTGTTATACATGGAATTACATAGCATGTACTGAGGTTCATCTGTTGTGTGCATCAGCAGTTAATTGTGGGATGCTCTTCTGGTCGCCCATCTACCTATAGATGGGCTCTTAGATTACCTAGGGCTGCCACAAATAAAGCTGCTATAAGGATCTGAGCACAAGCCTTTGTGTCGATAGATGGTCTTGTTTCTCAGGTCAATACGTAAGATTGAAATGGCTGGATCACATGCTGAGCCATTTTCAGAGTGGTCGTACCATTTTACATTCCCACCAGCAATAAACAGTTCAACAAATGGCTTGGTGTGAGCATTTAATTTTTAGTCAGTTCCAGTCATTCTATAGATGTATAGTGGTGTCTTTGTGGCTTTGATTTTGCGTTTCCCTAGTGACTGATGACCATCTATTCACATGCCTTTCTGGGGTTATTATTGAACTTTGGGAGGTCTTTAGATAGTCCAGGTACGAGTACTGTATCAGGTACATATGCTTTGCGTTAATACCTCTTCATTTTAAGAACACTTCTGGATCTTACCTGAATGGATGTTACCAACTCCTGGCATGTCCTGTAATTGGGGAAAATTAAAAAGTCCTGGATAAGAAATTCACAAGGTGATACTCCTAGTCAGAGACAAAGCAAACATGTTTAACTTTTTTCATGATGGGATATGTGCAGCACATGTGAGAGAGTGGAGTGCCTCTCCACAAGGTCTGTTCACGCCACAATCCCCTCCCTCGTATCTGCCATCTTCTGGGTCACTTATCCATACCTGATGGCCAATGAATGTCAGAGGTTGTCCTGTCTCTGTCCAGTCAAGGTCTGGAGCTGGTGGCAGGTCCAAGGCTGAGAGCTGCTGGGACTTGGAGGCTACTGGGCTGAAAGACACACAGGAGCCAGCTGGCAGATGAGGTCCTTGAGCCATGAGGACAGCAAAGATCAGATCTGTCCCCATGGCCCACCCAGAAAGTTACACAGTGCTCTAAGATGTCAAATACAAGGAATTCCCTAAGGTTTTACCTGTTTGTCCCGTTCCAGCGTCCAGGTGCTGAAGAGCCCTCTTCTGGGTCTGGCACTGCCTGAAGCGGAGTTTGATTCAGGAAAAATAAATGTGTCTAGGATGCTTAAGAGCCTGCCTAGGCCATGCCCCCACCCTCCAGACCCCAGTATCATAAGGAAGAAACAATAGACGGGCTGTAGTGCCCCATTGCAAACTGCAGGTCCACCCGCCCTCCTAACTGCTGGGCCCACATCTCTAACTAGTATGCCCCCTGGTGGACAGGTAAGGAAATACAAGCTGAGCAGATGAGAAAAGGCATCCATCAGTTTTCAGAAGAGCTGGTCCGTGAGAAACTGGACCTGGGGAAGTCAAGGATCAGTGGGTTTGGATACTGTTCTGGATCCTCCGAGGGGAACCAACCTCTAAGACAGATCGAACCACCTCCTGCCGGCTCTGTTCCACCTCACGGATCTGAGCTGCCATCTGTGGAGAGAGGATGCTTAGGTGCAGGACGGTGGGGCTGGGACCTTCAGAGGCCTTCCTTGCACTTACCTCTTTGATCACCTCGTCTTCTTTTTCCTCGTAGGAATCCAAACCTTTCACCATGGATTTTTTAAATCTGAAATAAGGAATAAATCAGCCAAAGATCCTAGTGGATACATAATTTTGAAAGGGGCCAGCAGGTGGTGTGGTGGTTAAAGGCTCTGGACTTGCACAGGACCAACTGTGGTTTGAGACCTGGACCTGGCAGCTTGCTCGCTCGCTCGCTCGCTCTCTCATGCATGCATATGCCCTGTTGCTAAACTGAGAAACAAATGATAATTTAAAAATACATTATTTTGAGAAATTTTATTTTTGTTTTTTAGATTTTTGCTAGAGGGCACTTGCTGCAGAGACAGAGACAAAAAGTGAGATATCATCCCCTGGGGGGATGGCCATACCACAGTCCCTTCTCTTCCAGTCTCCTCTTGATTTTGGCCTGTGCATGCACATATGCCCAGTGTGAGTTTCAAGCCATTGGGTCCAGGACTCGAACTGTGGTCAGCCATGTGGAAGTCTAGCAATGTAACCATTATGCCATTTGCTGGTCTCAATTCTGAGACATTTTAAACTCGAGAAATGAGTACAATGAACACTTGTATACCTCTTTTTTTTTTTTCTTTTTTCTCCCGCCCCTGCGCAGGCAGCCGCGCGCCAGACGACACTTGTATCCCTCTAACCCATATTCACTGTTAACTTTTTGTTTGTTTTTTTTTTTAGGTTTTTGCCAAAGGGAACGTGCACTCACCAGAGAGAAAATAAGAAGCCATCCCCTGGGGGAGTGGTATGGCCATGCCATACTCCCTTTTCTTCCATTCTCCTCTTGGGATTCTGGGTGCGCGTGCACACACATGCCTGGCATGGCATGATTTTTAAGCCACTAGGTCCTGGACTTGAACCGTAGTCAGCCATGTGGGAGTCCAGCCCCTTAGCCACTCTACCACTTCCTAGCCCCACTGTTAACATTTTGCCACACTTGCTCCACTTCTCTCTCCACATATAAACCCCACACACATATACACACGCACCCCTTAACTTTTTGCCAAAACAAAAATAGGTTTAGATTTCATGGGATTTCCTAAATATTTTGGTGTGAATCTCCAAGAACAGGAACACTATACAGCTATGATGCCATTCTCAAGGAAATCAGTTATTCTTTTTGATGTTGAAATTTGTCCCGTATTTGACTAGCAAATACAGACATGCAGTCTGTGTCTGCAGACTATGGACAGTCTGTACTCAGCTTCCTCCCACTGTTGTAAAAAATGTGTTTTATATCTTCTCTACCCCAATCCCAAGGTTCAGTAAAAAAGGTCATCTACGGAATCTGCGGTTAGGTGTCTCTAGTCTTCCCCATCTAGAAGAGTTCTGCTTCCTTGTCTTTATTGACTTTCTGAATCTTTTGAGGAATCTGGCCAGATCTTATACACTATCCCAAATTCTGAATTTCTGTGTCTCTTTAAAATCTCAAATTCAGGTCAAACATTTTTGGCAGGAATACCACGTTGATGATACTCCCATTGCCTCACATCAGAAGGCACCTAAAGTGTCAAGACTGTTACCAACGGCAAATGTGACCACTTAGCCTTTGGATCTCTGTGACAGGCACTTTGTTAGTTTTTTTTTTTTTTTTTTTTTTTTTTAACCTTAGTGCATGTGCACATGCTAGAGAGAACAGAGGGAAAGTGAGAAGTTGCAGTCATACTGCAATACCTTCTCCATTCTCTTCCTGAGAGCTTGGTCACATGGGCACATGCCCCTAGCGTGATTTTCAAGCCACTGGGTCCAGAACTTGGACCACAGTTGGCTATCCATCAACGTAACCATTACGCCATCTGCTGGTCCCAAAGCACTTTTTTTTTTTTTTTAAAGAATTATTTATTCACTCATTTATTTTAATTTGACCAGAGAGACAGACAGACTGAGAATGGGAAAGCAAGCCACCAGGCCCAGGACTCAAACAGTAGTTGGCCATGCTAGAGTGCCCAGAGCCTTAACTACCATGCCACCTGCTGGTCCCCATGGCATTTTTTTTTTAAGTCTTTTTCTTTTTAAATATCTTTTGGGGGGGGGGGCAGCAGGTGGTAGGAAGGTTAAGGTGGCTGGATCCCATTTAGCTGTCTGCACTGTTCAAGTCCCAGACTCTGGCTAGAAAGTCATGCTGGGTGCACATGCACATGTACCCAAAATCATGAGAATGGAGGAGGGATTGTGGCATGGTCATCTCTATGGGGGGTGATTTCTCACTTTCCCTCTTTCTCCCTCTGTCTCTCTCTGGTAAGCACATATGCCCTATAGCAAACTTAAAAGTATGTGTGCTTGCCAGAGAAGGAGAGAGAGCACACGCCAATAGGGCATGGTCACACTGAAATCCTTTTTCCTCCATCCCTCCTATCTGTTAGGATTTTAGGTAGGCATGTTTTTAAAAATGCCAGGACTGGGACCAACAGTTAGCGTAATGGCTATGTCACTGGACTCCCATGTAGCCAACTGCGGTTGGAGTCCCAGACCCGGTGGCTTAAACTCACACAGGGAGTGTGGCGTGGCCATCCCCCCTGGGGGGTGATTTCTTGCTTTCTGTTTCTGTCTCTGTCTCTGTCTTTCTGGCAAGCACATGCACCCTATAGCAAAAAAACCTCTCCAAAAATGCCAGGACCAGAGTTTGAACTGAGGTTTGCCACATGGGATCTAGTTTCTTTAACTGCTATGCTATAGGGTCAGCCCATTACTGCTATAATTTGTTATGTCATTTGGCTAGTGAAAACCCCTTCAAGCCAGCTCGTATCCCCTGCACCTGACTCAATCTGCTTGTGTCCTTGCTTTCTCTTAGGAGAAGTTCTAGGCTCAGCACTTACTTTCCCTGCTCTGAAGCTGAATGCAACGAGTTCTCCAAATGAGACCTGAGTCTTTTTACTACAAAATAGTACTTAGAAACAAAAGAGCTGAATACAGGTTAGCCAGTGGCATGGTGGTTAAGGCGGCTGGATCCCACATAGCCAACTACATGGTTCAAGTCCCAGACCCAGTGGCTTGAAAAACATGCCAGCATGTGTGCATATGTGTCCAAAATCCCAAGAGAAGAATAGAGATGGGATTGCAGCGTGGCCATTCCCCCAGGGAGTTGCTTTCTCATCTTCTCTTCCCTCACCTCAGCAAGTGCACAGCTGACTAGCCAGCTTTTTTCTTCTTAAAAAAAATTTCTATTAATATTTTTTTAATTTGACCAGAGAGAGAAAGGGAAAGTGAGAACACAAGTTGCCAGGCCTGGGACTCGAACCGAGGTCGGCCATGTGAGAGTCCAGCACCTTTAACTACCAGGCACCTGCTGGTCCTAGCCATCTTTTTTCTTTAAACCAAGAATTCACGGGACCAGCGTGGTTTGAGTCCTGGACTGGGTAGCTTAAAACTCAGCTAGGCGTGTGTGTATGTGTGCCCAAATCCCGAGAGGAGAATGGAGAAGGAACTGTGGCATGGCCATCCCCCCTGGGGGGGTGGTGCTTTCTGTCTCTCTGGTGAGTGCATGCACCCTATAGCAAAACATCTCTAAAACGAAAAAAAGAATTCACACTAATCTCTCCCTACTTACAGCCCTCTCTTCCTTACTTGTATTTCTTCTGCCACAGGGAAAATCCTGGTTTCCATAAACATCAATATATTTGCAACTGTTTTGTCCTGCAATACACACAAAAAGTTGTCAGAATGATATCGATACCACCCTGGGTGGTGCCTGACAGCCTGGCACATACCGATACAGGCAGTGGCTGAGCCACAGCTTCTCAGTCTAGGCTGTGTGATCCCAGGGACACAGGGTCCCGACCACAGCAGCCCTGCAGTGCATAGCATCGTGGGTGGGCCCTAGTTTCTTTTTCTTCTTTTTTTTAAAAGAATTATTGGGACCAGTAGTTAGTGTAATGGCTATGTCACTGGACTCCCATGAAGTCGACAGTGGTGCGCGTCCCGGACCTGGTGGCTTAAAACTCACACCGGGTGCGTGTGCGTGCATGTCCAAGATCCTGAGAGGAGAATGGATGAGAAGGGATTGTGGCATGGCCATCCTCCCTGGGGGGGGTGATTTCTCCCTTTCTGTCTCTATGTCTGGCGAGTGTACACGCCCTATAGCAAAAACCTCTAAAAAAAAAAAATTATTTTAGGGGCCAGCAAGTGTCATGGTAGTTAGGGGTGCTGGACTCACACATGGCCGAGTGTGTTTGAGTCCCAGATCTGGTGGCTTGCTTTCTCGCTTTCTCTCTCTCACTCTCTCACTCACTCACTCACTCACTCTCACTCACTCACTCACTCACTCTGTCCTTGTCTGGTCAAATAAATAAATAATGTTAAAAAAAGAATTATTTAATTTACATTTATTTATTTATCCATTCTAATTGGACCAGAGAGGGAGTGGGGGAGAGAGAAAAGTGAGAAGGCAAGCCACCAGGTCTGGAAATCAAACAGCAGTCGGCCATGTGGGAGTCTAGCACCCTTAACCACAATGCTGCCTGCCGTTCCCCTCCCCCCCCTTTTTTAAAGAAATATTTATTTATCCATTCTAATTTGATCAGAGAGGGAGGGAGATAGAGAGCCTAGTTTCTTGAGTATCCTTTAGGGGTTCCTTTTTGAAAACAAGCCTACATATATGTACTCTCATACACATTTTGATTGTGTGTGTATTTTTTTGTTTTGTTTTGTCAAAGGGCACAAGTGCTTGCTGGCGAGACAGAGGGAAAGTAGGAAAGCACTTGCACTGGGAATGGGAATGGTCACACTGCCATCCCTTCTCCATCTCCTTTTGGGATCTGAGCATGCACACACACACACCTGGGTCATTTCTCAGCCACAGGACTTGAACTGCATGCTCAGCCGCGTGGAGTCCAGCCACTTTAACCACTGGGAATGGAACCTGTATGTTCCTTTATACCTTGCCTTTTACCACTTAAAACATCTTTAAAATTGGGATCAGTAGGTGGTATGGTGGTTAAGGGCGATGGACTCCCACATGGCTGACTGTGGTTCGAGTTCTGGACATGGAGGCTTGCTTTCTCACTTTCTCTCACTCTGTCCCTCTTTTTTTTTTTTTTTTTTGGTAGGTTTTTGCTGTAGGGCACATGAAGACAGAGAGAGACATAGAGATAGAAAGCAAGAAATCACCCCCAGGAGGGACGGCCACGCCGCAATCCCTTCTCCTCCATTCTCCTCTTGGGATCTTGGGTACGCACACACATGTGCCCAGCGTGAGTTTTAGCCACTGGGTCTGGGACTCGAACCACAGTCGACAACATGGGAGTCCAGTGACAGCAATTGCACTAACTGCTGGTCCCATACTCTGTCCCTCTTTGGTCAAATTAAATAAATAAATAAAGTTAAATAAAAGAATTATTTTAAAAAAAATCTTCAAGATCACTCCATGAAAGTGGAGTCCATCCTCCTAATTCTCCATTGTATTTTCTGCTTGATTATCCTCTATTCACACCATGAAAAATCATCTGGCTCTGGGTCAGAGTTTGAGGAGTAACTGTTTTTTGTCCTCGGCTTCCCATCTCCTCCCACTCTGAACTGCAGATCTGAGGCAAGGTGGTAGAATTTCAACATTTATCATCCCCTCATTATTCTTCACTTTGAGCAACTGTGAACAACAGATGCCATGATTTTTCGGTAACTTTGGCTCTGAGATCCCCTTGGGTTCCACACTCACATCTCAGGGTGGTCCCAGTTAAGTGGCATAGCGTGGCCACTTATGTTCTCTTCCTGAAGTGGCTCAGGGCTCACCCTCTCATGTACTGACCTGCCTCCTGCACTCAGTTTCTCAGGGCCCTCTAGAGTATAGTTAAAAAGAGTATCTCCTTGGTTAAAGGAGTCGAATCCCACATGCTGACTATGCAGTATGAATTCCAGGCCAAGCGGCTTAGAAAATCACACCAAATGTGTATGCGTGTGTGCCTGTGCCCCAAATCCCAACATGGTGGAGAAATGGAGATGGGATTGTGGCATGACCACACCCCATTAGAGAAAGGTCAGTCTCTCTGGGGGAAGGAGGGGAGATGATATTCAAAACTATTAAAAGTAGGCTCTGGGGGCCAGCGGATGGTATAGTGGTTAAGAGGCTGGACTCCAATGTGGCCAACTGTGGTTCAAATCCCAGACCCAGAGCGTGAAACTCACACCAGGCATGTGTGCCCAAAATCCCAAGAGAAGAAGGGATTATGGTATGGCCATTCCTCCAGGGGGATGATTTCCTACTTTCTGTCTCCAGCAAGCGCACATGCCCTATAGCAAAAAAATCTCTTTTACCAAAAAAAAAAAAAGTAGGCCCTGGATGAGTACCAGCTCCTTGCATGCCATCAACAGCCTCTTTTATCCCTCCAGGACTTCCATATTCTCTGTGCCTCATATTTAGGTAGTTGCTTATAGTCAACCTTTAGTATATTACTCTCTAGCCCAACTAGGTTAACCTCAAGAACTCTGAATTTCTTTCCTGTCTGCCCTGAATGGGACGTGCCATGAAGGCAGGGGACACTTACTGAGCTTTCCACTTAATAGAGGAAGCTCCCTCAGCTGAAAGATCACTGTTAGAACTCATTGCTACTTCACGTGCCACAACAGTGACTTACCGTGACTCACTGCTACTTCACGCTCCGCGACAGTGACTTACCGTGCGTAATCCTGGGGAGAGATCAGAAACTTCTCTTTCATCTGGACCTCAGCCTTGTTCTCCCACCAGAATTTGTTGGTGGCTTTCTTGTGCTCTGGGCTGAGTAGAGAGGATGAGCAGTCTCAACTACACATTATAAAACAGCTAGGCATTGGGATCAGCAGAGAGCCTAGTGGTTATGTCACTGGACGCCTACATGGGCGACGGTGGTTTGAATCCCAGACCTGGCACCTTCAAACTCACGCTGAGTGCTTGTGTGTGCCAGCCCAAAATCTCCAGAGGAGAATGGAAGAGAAGGGATTGCGGCCTGGTCCTCCCCACAGCGGAGTGATTTCTCGCTTTCATTCATTCTGTCTCTCTCCCCGGGGAACATGCACCCTAATAGGAAAATTCTCTCTAAATTCTCTCTAAGGCCAGGCACTGAGTAATGCAGGCTGACATAGGGGTTTCTGCCTTGGGTGAGGCTGACAGTGCAGTAGTGTCCCTTCAAGATCTCCAGTCTCCCCTCTGTCAGTAAAACAGTAAGCGTCCGAGGGTAGGTGATGGCTTGACTATCACCACCACTATGTCCACAGTGGCCAGAAGCCCTTACCCTCCAAGGCTGGCACTGCCTATAAGGAGACTGACTCCACCCAACCTGATTGCCCCCTCCATCCCCGAACACACTCGGTTGCCACCGAGCGTTGGAGGCTCCAGCCCCGCTGTCACCTGGCCAGATGCTCCAGCAGCCCCCCATGCAGCACCGTCAGGTTTCCGTGGCTCAGATGTTTCCGCACCTCGCAGCCGCAGCACAGACACCAGCAGCGCCGCTCGTGCTCCGGCACGTAACGCTCCACCTGAGCGGCGCGGATGGCCTTGCGGGCTGCCTCCACCTGCAGGGACAGGCCAAGTAGGACCCCCACGGGTACTCGCGCCGCTGCCCCGCGCCTCCACCCTCGCGTCCGCACCTGGGGCAGGAGCCGCTCCAAAGCCCCCCTCCACCGCCGCTGG